GATCATACATTATATTGATGTATTACAACTTGGAAGATTCAATACCATGGAGAATAGAGCCTGAACTTAGAACTGGAAAGTAACGTTTGCAGTTATAAAGACCTACGTTCTCATTTCTCTAAATAGCTATCAAATTCTTCCATGTTCCAAATCCCCCTGGAAGTGTGTGAGTGTAAGAAGGAAATAAGTGTCCAGCCTTAATAATTAAAAATACCACTGCAACATTTATCTTTAAAGAGAGCTCTGCAGGCTGGAAAAAGAAAGATTTCAATCTGCTTCTGAGTAAAATAATCTTTAATTTTAAAAAGTACTGCCAAAATTATTTCATTAAAAATCCAAAGGATACATTCTTTCTTTTAGAATAATTCCATTCTTCTGCAAAATGTCCTGAGCATTTTGATTCTTTCATTCTTCTTCATATTTTATTTCTTTGTGACTTTTCTCTTCTCCTAACATACAAACTAAGGGCAAGCACGTTCCCATAAATGTTTATATCCTCCCAAAGTGACTAATACAGTGTCATACATTCAGTACAATCAATGAAATCTTATTTCATTGATTGCCATTGGATTAATAAACCTTAGTAAGATTTTCTAACAAGGATAATTTTTAAATAATAGGATTTAAAACAAATAAGTAAAGAAATCATAGATTTCATACTGTCTTTCTGTAATAATGGCTAAAAGTCACCTTAAATTTACTAAATATCTGTAAACTGATTATAAAACAAAACACTTCAAGATGGTGTAGCAAAGACTAGCCTTGTCTTATATTCTCAGGGCAACCCATCCCTCAGAAGTTTTTGGAAACCAAGTGAATTAAGCTTCCACCTCTACTACTCTGGATAATGTCAAAGCCTAGCTAAGCAGCACTACCTGTTGACATTCGCCTTGGTGCCTGAATGTAATCCAAAGTATCTACAGACATCTGGCAACTTACTTTTAGAATCACATAAATTTAGGCTGGGCGCGGTGGCTCACGCCTGTAATCCCAGCACTTTGGGAGGCCAAGATGGGCGGATCGCGAGGTCCGGAGATCGAGACCATCCTGGCTAACACCGTGAAACCCCGTCTCTACTAAAAATACAAAAAATTAGCCGGGCGTGGTGCCGGGCGCCTGTAGTCCCAGCTACTAGGGAGGCTGAGGCAGGAGAATTGCGTCAACCCTGGGGGCGGAGCTTGCAGTGAGTGGAGATCACGCCACTGCACTCCAGCCTGGGTGACAGAGTGAGACTCCGTCTCAAAAAAAAAAAAAAAAAAAAAAAAAGAATCACATAAATTTAGAATTATAAAAGTTCACTAAATTTATCTAGCCCACATTCTTCATTTTCACATGAGGTACTAAAGTCCTCAGATGTTCTATCATTTGCTCAAGGGCACTCAACTCAATGCATATGTGGATGTAAGCTATCAGGTCTCCTTAACTTCAAGCCCAGTTCTTGCAACTCTACAGAATCTTCTTTATCCAACTGTCGGAGAATTTCTATGGCCCAGAAGTACTTGGGAACAATTTTTAATCATTATATCCTTCTAAAATGAGGAGGAAAAATTCATTAATTCAGAAACTCAAGAAAAACCAGGACTTCTGGATAATTTCTGTTTGGAAATCATGTGAAATGCTAGTGTTATGTATATATAATCCTTTATTCTACTCATATTTTTTGAGTGATATAAGAATATTGACCTCAGACTCGTCCTGAAACTGAAGTAATGAGTGAAGAACTCTTGTTCAAAATACCCTATCCAGAGTTCCCAAGGTTTCTTTTCAAAGAAATGTCCTGTTTTTAAGAGTCATTGCAGTCTTCCAGGGGTGAGAGCATAGGGGTTGGGGATGCAGCTAGGTATTGGATGCTGAGGCTGTTAAGGTTAATGATGTCAGGTCAAATAATTGCCATATATTTTTTCCTCATTACCTCACTGGCTTCCTCTTTTATGGCAGTAAGATATACAGTACAAACACTTAAATACATACAGAAAAGGGAGATATTTTAAAATGAAAGGACTTCAAGATCATTCCTCTTGGGATGGTACAGAATCTGTCTGCCTATGAGGTAGAGGGAGTAGCCTTTCCTAAATTTTGAGATCAAAATTAGCAAGAATAGGAGCCAAACTTGGGCTAGGCTAGGAATTTAGGACTTAGCTTCTCTTATGGATGTAATTATGTTATTCCTGTAAAGCTGCAGACATAGGAAAGATGACTTCAAATAAAACATATAGACAGCACAAAAGCCCACATGTTTAACTGCACAATCAGGTTGAAACTGCAGCCATAAAAAATTGGTCTGTAGAATCTTAATACATTAAAACAAAACAAAAAATTTAGAGGACATGTCAAGCAGATGAGAGATTAAGAAACTGAGGGCCTTGACAGTTAAGAGACCTTACAAAGGTCACACAACTGTCAGAGACAAATCAGTCAGGCCTCTGCATATATTTTATATTATCAACTGCCTGCTTTGTACTGTTTTGAAGCAGAAGTCCAACCCCCAAATTTAGGAGTCAAAATGTAAACTGCTTTAATCTATGAAGTGGAGAATTTTGAGATATGTCAAGGTCAAAGAGAGACTATAGGAAAAGATATTACATATTTTCCTTTTGTCATTATTCAATGAGCTGTCCATTCCTCCATGGCCACTGCTTTTGGCTAGATATAAGCTGTGGAAAAATTTCTCCTGGATTCATCTATTCCCTGGAAAGAAAACTCAATCTGGCTTAAGAGAAAAAATTCCTCTCCATGTAATGATAAATTGTCTAAATTGAAAGTTCACACCATAATCAAAGTTGAACAGTACAGACATCCTACAAAATTAAATTTTCATCTAGTGAATCTGGATGTTTTGAGGAAAAAATACTTGTGGTTTTAAGGCCTACTCCTAGGTAACTAAAACACCATCATAATGATATTTTTTCTTCATTTCTACAAGCTCTGTTTTTAGTGGAATGCTTAATGTTCTTTGAATGTAATCACCAATAATACTATTTTTATAAGAAAAAAAATGCCTGCACATGTTCATATATAATGATTCATGCAGTTTTGCTGAAACTAAATATAAATTTAACACATTTTTTAACGTGTCAAGAAGTTTAACCTCACAAAATGTACAGTGTACATTCATAGTTTTCTTTTGTACTGTACTGAAACTAAATTTCATATTTTCATACAATCTATACAATCTGATTCCCTGTGTGTTTCAACTCTACCCAAATATTATCTCTATAATTTTGCCACTAAACCGTTTAAGATGTAGTTGATTTAAACTACTAGTCACAAACCTCAAGAATCAGTTTTTTTAATAAACAATACATTCATTTTCTTTTTTTACATAACTATCTCCAGGCCCCAAACCAGCTTTCTAAATTTATCTCCCACTTTTCCTCATCCTGATGCAGCTCTAGACGCTGTGAGCTGGTGTCTTCCATCTCATGCTTCTCCAGCTATCTTACTCAGCTGATTATGCTCTTTCCTCTAACAGCCAGAATCTTAAATTCTACCCAGCCTTCTAGAGCCAGGTCGGATACATTCCTAGTGCCACAGCATTTCGTAATAACTTGGTCAGGGATAATCTCATCTGCCTGACAAATTACAACCTTTCATATATTCCTGCTGCACCATCACCTTTTGCCTCATAGCATGGATCTTTAGGGAACAATTTATTATAGTGTTAAGAGTGAGAATTCAAGAGCCATACAACTGGAGTTCAAATCTTGCCAATCTACTGGCTCACTGTGGATCTTGGGAATATACTTTAACCTCTCTTAAATCCAATTTCATCATTTATCAAATGAGATAATTATAGTACCTACTTTATAAAGTTGTAATAATCTAAGATTATAACATATAAAATGCATTGAAAGGTGTCTAATACCTAGTAAGTGCTCAGTAAACATAAGCAACTACCAATACTTTAATTTTATTACTATTATCATCATTACTTGCAGTGGAAAGAGCTTCTACTAATAATAAAGTGATCCAGGAAGTTGCCTAATCTTTTCAAGTTTTTGTTTTCTTATCTGTACTAAAGCAAAGCTTCTGTACAGCAAAGGAAACAATCAATAAAGAGACAACCTGCAGAATGGGAGAAAATATTTGCAAACTATCCATCCAACAAGGGATTAATAACCAGAATACATAAGAAACTCAAACAACTCAATAGCAAAAAAGCAAATAATCTGATTTACAAATGGACAAATGATCTAAATAGATGCTTCACAAAAGAATACATATAAATGGCCAACAGGTATATGAAAAAAAATGCCCGACATCACTAATCATCAAGGAAATGCAAATCAAAGCCACAATTATATCACTTCACTCCAGTTAAAATGACTATTTTCAAAAGGACAAAAAATAATAAATACTGGCAAGGATGTGAACACTCACATACCATTGGGGGTAATGTAAATTAGCACAGCCACTGTAAAAAACAGTATGAAAGTTCCTCAAAAAACTAAAAATATATCCACCATATGATCCTGCCTTCCCACTGCTAGGTATACATCCAAAACAAAGAAAATTAGTGCATCAAAGAGACTATATACATTCCCATGTTTATTGCAGCACTACTCACAATAGCCAAGGTAAGGAAGGAACCTAAGTGTTTATCAGTGGATAAATGTATAAAAGAAAACATGTCTCTCACATATAATGAATATATATGGTATATATATGGCATTTATACATACATACACATATATGGCATATTAATAAATATATTACATATATTTATATATATAAATAACTTTTGTATATTTCAAAATACCTACCAGATTTGGAATGTTCCCAATACCACTAAATAACATTTGAGGTGATGGATATTCAAATTACCCCAGTTTGATCATTACACATTATATGCATGTATCAAAATATCACATGTACCCCATAAATATGTACAATTATATAACAGTAAAATCTTCAAACATTTTTGAAGTCAATACCAAAAAACCATATTTACTTTATTATTCATTATCTATTGCTGCATAAGAAATAATCCCCAAACTTACTTCTTTGAAAAACATTTATTGTCTTCTAAGTCCTATGGGTAAGGCATACAAAGTCCTCTGGTTCAGAATTTCTCACAAGGCTGCAATCAAGATGTCCACAGAGCTGCAAGCATTTCAAGGATCAACTAGGGAAGGATCTGCATCTCAATTCATGCTCTTGTTGTAGGCAGAATTGAGTTTTGCACAAGCCGTTCGTCTTGGGGCTTCCGTTACTTGCTGGTTGTTGGCCATAGGAGATGCTCAGTTTCTTGACATGTGGGTCTCTTTCAAAGGCAGTTTACCACATTGCATCTTGCTTCATCAAAGCAAACAAATAAGAGGGTAAAAGAGAGATAGTGTAAGCAAGAGAAAAGTCATAGTTTTCTGGAACCCAATCTCAGAAATGATGTAATATCACTATTGTCCTACTCTGCTCATTGGTAGAGTCACTGGGTCAAGCCTACATTCAAAGGAGGGAGATTATACAAGGGGGTGAGTGCTATGTGATGGAGATCATTGGGTCATCTTAGAAGGTCTCCTACCACACCTCATAAAGTTATTGTAGAAATTAAATGGTCTTAATGTATCTGTAATTCATTGTAGACTACCTAGGACACAGCAGATATGCAACAAATACGAATGTATTCTTCCCTCTCTAATAGAATAAAACTCCTAGGAGACAAAGACATAATCAGTGAGCCCTGCAGTACCTAAGCCAACTTTGCTCTCAACAACCAGTAGAGGCATAAATGATACTGACACTACTGTTCACAATCTCGCTAACATTATCTTTATTTTCAGAAGGTACAACCTATTACCTTTCCGCAGTGACTCATTTACAGTACAACAGCATGGTAGGCAGAATAATATCCCCCAAAGAGGTCCATAGTCTAATCTATAGAACTTGTGAATAAATTACTTTACATAGGAAAAGGAACTTTACACATGTAATCAAGTTAAGGTTCCTGAAATGGGAAGACTGACATGGTTTACCCAGGTGGGTTCAATTTTATCACAAGAATCCTTTAAAAGCAGAGAACCATTCCTGGCTGTGGTCAGAGAAACACCTGTGATTATGCCACAATGATTAGAGAGATGCAGCATTGTAGGTTTTGAAGGTAGAAGAAGGGGGCCAAGAGCCAATGAATGTGGACAGCCTCCAAAATGAGAAAAGGCAAGAAAACAGATTCTAGCCTGCACACTCCAGTAAAGAGTGCGACCCTGCTGTCAACTTGATCTTAGGTTGGTGAGATTATTGTTGGACTTTTGATCTATAGAACAAGAATATAATGCATTTACATTGTTTAAAGCAACTAAGTTTGTGGCAATTTGGTATAATGGCAACAGAAAAATAATAGAAAGAGAAAATATGTAAGTGTGTCCTTAGAGATATCACACACAGGTACTCTCTAAATGTTGAAGGAATATATATGATCATTCTATAATGTACAATATTAAAAATCATTGAGTAAAAAAACTTTTAGTTCAAAACACCATTACAAAGCATGCGACTATTTTTTCTAAATCATTGTATTTCAAGACCATTAACTATCATCAAAAGCAATGAGAATAAAAACTACTACGTTTTTATTTAACAAACACTTGAAGAACATTTACTATGTGGTAGACACTATTATAGAGTCTAAAGTCATAGATACGTTATAAATATTATTCATTTAGTTCTATTAACTTACAAGACAGTCACTATTATCATTCTTCTTCTACAGACAAAGAACAAACACAATTTTGATGAGCTTTCCCAAGCAAACTTCCCCAAGCTTGTAAGTGGCAGAGCTAGAATTCAAACTCAGGCACTCCGGCTCCACAGTACCTGAATTGTGCTTCTTCTAAAATCATAACTGAATTGTATATAATAATCATAATTAAATCATATATATTCCCAATACATTGTTTCATATATTTATTTAGACTTAAGCAGACTAAAAAACTGTATATATTCTGGATTATTCTTCCCAAATTGTTTGTTGACCAATTACTAAGTACCTCCTACGCCACAGGCATAGAAGAAAAAGAGAAATGAATAAAACAATGAATCTCCCCTTAGAGAGTTCACAGATTAGTGACAAGAGACAGATGACACAATAATACAATAATTTATATTTTCATGAAATAACATAAATTCATTAAAGCAAAACCATCTCTTATGGCCCTATTCTCCATGACTTCCTCATTTAGAAGGGAAGGTAAGTATTGAAATAAACAGCTGTGTGATACCTGTTAAGTTATGGTAGAAGCATGTAGCTGGTACCAAGAGGCACAGAAAAAAGAAAAATATTTGTAGGAACTGGCAGAGGGGACACTGAATAGTATGAAGGAGGAGATACAGAGTTTTATAGTTTAGAGATCATTTCAGCAAGCAAGGATAGTAAGCCTGAAGGGTAGTGAGGCTGGAAGTCACCAATTTGTTAAGAGATGGCTTAACGTGCAAGGATAATGAGGGTTTGAATTAAGGCAACTGCAGGAAAGATTATTAAAAGAGAGAGTGAATTTGGAGTGGTATTAGCAGGCATTATGGACCGGGACCCAGGATATGACATTGTCCATACTCCCCAGAATCCCCTCCACACACCTAAGTCTCCCTCAAAGAATAATAATAGCAAATGAGAGCAGTGAGAAGTTACAATTGATGACTGTGTAAATACCCAGCAGAAGAACAGCAAGAGAGAGTCTCTGGAATGTGTGAAAAGTCCTGGTGCCCTTCTAGAGAGTTTGAACATTAGCCTGCAGATACTAGGATCTGGACAAAGTAGTTAGAATGCATGATCAGGTAACAGTGAAGCTACCATGGTTAGAAAGATAGATGCTAGCCTAGAGTGAGGAGAAATCAGCGTCTGAGAAAGGAGATAGTACTGTAGTGTATTAAAGTTAAAATTTTAATTTTCAGTTTTTATTTTCAGGAGAGACTGATATCTAAAGGCAATTCTTTTTATAATAAATACTGTTTTTAAAAGTTGAATTGTCATAAATAATTACAGCTAGCTATTGCTTGCACTGCATAAAGATGTTTCAGTCAATGATGGCCCACATATATAACAGTGGTCCCTAAGATTATAATACTGTATTTTTACTGCAATTTTTCTATGTTTAGACATGGTTAGATACACAAATACTTGCCATTGTGTTACAACTGCTTATAGTACTCAGTACAGTAATATGCTGTGCAGGTTTGTAGGCTTGGAGCAAAAGGTTATCCCATATAGCCTAGGTATGTAGTAGGCTACATCATCTAGGTTTGTGTAAGTACACTCTATGATGTTCACACAACAAAATAGCCTAATGACACACTTCTCAAAATGTATCCCTACTGTTATGAATGACTGTATGTAGAGGCAGTGCTCTAACTACCTTACATACAGTATTTGTTTAATTCTCAAATATTATCATTGGTTCAGTTTATTGTTAAGTCTCAGAGAGGTTAAGTAACTTGCCCAGGGTCATTCAGTAATGGGTAGGTGGAATTTGAATCCACAATGTGATGCTAGAACCTGAATTCATAGCCACTGTATCATCAACACGTGTTTGGTTAAATCCAGATATGGAGAAATTATTTTTATTATGTTGAGCTTCAGAGCATGCATAGACTCTGGAACCAGACTACCTAGGTTCAGATCTCCATTTCACCATTTAATGGCTGTGAGAAATTCGACCAGTTACTTCAGCTTTCAGTACCTGTTTCTTCATCTGTAAGTGGGAACAATAACAGTGTTTGCTTCCTACGGTAGTTCTGAGGATTAAATGAGTAAATTTAGTAAAAGGGCTCAGAAAAGTACCTTGAGCATATTACACAACCAATAAAATTTACCTATTATCAATATTATTATTCTAATATAAAGTATTGAGAATAGTGGTATGAAACACTGGATATACTGCATGGCCCCAATTGAGACCTGAGATAGGCAGAATGATGGCTCCTAAATATATCCATTCCTCAATCCCTGTAAGCTGTGAATATGTTACATTATTACCGCAAAAGGGACTTTGCAGATGTAATTAAAGTTATGAACCTTGAGAGGGGGAGATTCTGTCTAATCAATGGATTCTTAAAAGGCTGTAATTGGAGAGATACAGCAATGGAAGAAGAGGAAAGGAAGATTTAGAATGATGAAAGGGTCTCAATCCACTGTTGCTGGCTTTGGAGACAAAGAGGGCCATAACTAAGGAATGTGAGTGGCCTCTAGAAGCTGGAAACAGCTCTCAGCTGACAGCCAGCAAAGAAACAGGGAGAACAGCTACAACAGCAAGGGACTGAATTTGTCCAACAACATGAATAAGCAAAAAAAAAAAAAAAAAAAATCAGATTCTTCCCTTAACTCTCTAGAAAGAAACACAGTCCTGTGGACACCTTGATTTTAGGCCATTGAGAACCATGTTGAACTTCTGACCTACAGAACCGTAAGGTAACAAACTGGTGGTGGTTCGAGCTTCTAACTTTGTTACAGAAATAGTATTAATAGTAAACTAATAAAAGATCCACACTTTTTCCTAAAAGACTCAAACATATTGATTTAGGAACTACATAATATTCCAGAATAAATTTAACTTCTTAAAGTCAGCATTTTAAAACTATATTAGGACATAAATCAATGTCTTATTTACATTTTTATTGTTAAATTCTTAGAATCTAAAAGTTGCTAAAAGGCTATAGAGGATATAAAATGCTATTACAAAATATTTTCATCTTTTCTATGTAAAGGTAAAAAAATTCAATTTTAATTTTTTAACTTCTCATAGTTAATGAACAAATTAACTTTGATTTTTTTTTCCTAATATTTTTTAAGTCCACAGCCAAGTTCTAATAAAGGCGCTTAACATGTCACTAGGAATATATAAATTCTAGGTTTAAAATAACTCATGTTTTGCATTTACAGAGGTAAGCATTTACTAACAAGCAAAATATTCTGTCTTGGTTATTATTTACTTATTCACTGCCTCTGAATTTATATGAATTAGCTCTGAGAGAGTAAGAGCTGTGTCTGTTTTCTGTCTTCACATTTTTATCAACACTGCCTAGCAAAACTCCCGGGCCTCAGAAAGCTTTTGTTAAATACATGAATGAAAAATAAATATATCTTTAAAAAACTGGAAATAAAGCTTCCCTGGAACCTCAGCTCACTAGCTCATGGGAAAACTAACAAGATATACTGTATCTACAGGTTAAACATTAAAATCCAGAACTTATTTTAAACATTTTCAACAGAATGTTAAGGGTTATATGTTTCCCCACATTCTGAATGAGATTAAATATGTTTCAAGTTTCTTGTTATCTTTATTATTTTCATTCGCTACTGTGTGATGTGCACATGACATACACAAGGCTCTACGAACTAGAATTTGCTTTCTGAAAATGTCCTCTACGTCAAGTCTTTGTGAGTACTTTACCCTGTTCCTCTCAAAAATTAAGTGAAGCACAGCATATGTGTAGGCTACCTGAAAGAGGTGCAGCGTGGTTGGTTTTCTTCACAATTGCTAAAGGAAAGGCCTACTCTTCTTCGGCGAGATTTTTACTCTCCAGAACAGCAGTATGCATAGAAATAGAATGGAAACCACGTAATTTAAAATTTTCCAAAACATTCTCATTTTGACATGTAATCAATATAAAATTAATGAAATATTTTACATTCCTTTTTCTTTTCAGACCATGCTTTAGAAATCTGGTGCATATTCTACACTTAGAGAGGACCTCAGTTCAGACTAGCCACTTTTCAGGTGCCCAGTGACTACTATACTGGACAGCTGCAGCTCTAGAAAATCCACTCCCAAACCCCTAAACTCCCATACCCTATCAACTTATAGCTTCTACTCTGTCTCAATTTGTACCATTGTTTCACAATTTGGATAGCATTAGAGTTCATTAATAACTTTCATTTTAGCAAGTCTGCTCCATGGGTAGTTTCTGAAATAAAAATACAAGCCAAAAAAAAAAAAAAAAAAAAAAAAAAAGACCTAATAACTGTGGTTCTACAGTATACGCTCTTTCTCGATGGTCTAACAGAGCTTTCGTAGAAGTGCCTGCTCCTGGTAGGGACGGAGAGTCGAGACTGGAGGCAAGAACTAAGACGTTCCTAAACCCTGCTACGTGCTGGAATCCTCAAGTGCCTACCATCATTCAAACCTTAGAACTAACTCTCCAGAGACACAGCCATTCATACCACAGAACCAGATGGCAGTGGCGATCCTCAACGCCGGCTACCTGTCACTGCCTGGTGAGTACTCTTCCCTCAGACCCCATTCCCAGAAGCTCTGCCTCGACTCCCCAAGGGGTAGGCGACCTCCTAAGCGTTACCGGGGAGATCCGAGGGCCTCCGAGGGCGGGAAACCTGAGGCCAGGCGCTCGCTGCCCCTAAGGCGAGAGTGCGTCCGGTCCGCTCTACGGGGTCTCCCGGGAGGGCTTTGCAGGGCGGATGACTGACGGGCCAGCTACCTTCCTTCCTGAGCCTGCAGATCAACAAGCTATCCTCCCTGTGCACACAGGCCCCGAGGGCGGGCAGGTCTCCAAGCGCCGCGCAACTGCCCTAGGCCCGACGCAGCCACCTGCCAGAGGTTCCCTCCCCACCAGGCCATTCCCTCAGCCAGTCCTCCTCCGACAGCGAACAAGGAACCCCAGAGGCACGGAGGCGTCTCGCCGACATCCGGCGACCCTTGCCAGAGGCCCTTCGCGATGTCCGCAAGCAGAGAAAGCCCGGCTCTCACAAGCCCTGGCTTCCCTTAGGCCCCTTGACACTTGTGCGTCCTCACTTGCGGCCCCTGACCCGGGGCTGACCGGTTCGTGACTCCCCTGCCAATCAGAGACAGAGTTCATCCGGCCAACCGACCAATCACCGCGCGCTGGTGTCCGCTTCGGCTTTTCGTCCCTTCGGCCCTTCGGTTCTTCGGCTTGTCGGCGTTCGCGGCTGTTTGGCTATCCCGGGCCTTCCGCAGCGCCGCTGAAGCGCAGTGCTCGTTGGTGTAACTTTTTCTTTTTCTTTTTCCTTTTTTTTTTTTTTTTTTTTTTTTTTTAAGCCACTTCCGGCTCCTGCGTCGCTCCGGAAGCCTGCTAGTTCCGGAAGCCTTGGTAATCCAGATTCTGCTAGGAAAAGACAAGCTTTCCAGAGAATGTTTCAGAGAAAGTTACGTGGAGCGTGGGCGTTTCGCAGACTCCTAAGGTCAGTGTCTGCCCCAGAGAGCCGGAGTGCAAACCCGAGGTCTTGTTTTCAGCTGGGAGGTCGTGGAGTTTCACGACCCTGTAATTGTCGCCGATTGCTTTTTTCCCCTGTTTATTGGCTTCCTATCTTCCTGGAAGAGGCAAATCAAAGCTTCTGAATGTCGGGAAAGGCAGTGAAGCAAACCTAAATTCCAAAAGATGTTTTTAGGATCGCGCCATTAAAAATAAACACACAGCTGCAGTTGAGCCCCTCTACATTCCACGTAGTGACTTAAGAGACGAACTTTGAAATCTTTTTCTCTCACTTGGCGGTTGTGAGGATATTGACCTCTTATAAACGGCTTTATAAAGAATTGAGGATCCAAGCTTTACTTAATATCTGAAAGTTCATGTAAAGTGTTATATGTGGTACAAAAAATTTGAGTATACTTAGTTTTCTAACATTGTCGAAAGGGCACGTAAAAGCAGTTTGATTTTCTTATGGGGGAAGAGATAATGAAAAGTTTCTGATAAAATTGCTTGCTATGAATTAGTTATATTTCACATTGTTTTTTGATAAGAAGTCTGAATGTGAGAAACGTTAACTTTTTTTTTCTGGGTTCTTAAAAATCGTTATTGAGGTACCATTTTCCACATTTCCCACATTTAGTGAAAGGGCTTTTAGCAAGATGAGCAAGACTTGAACGTTCAAGTCTAACACATTCTTTTAAACTTCCATGATGCCCCTCGCAAATATTTTATCTTGAAGTTTCGGACAATTAGATGATACTGGGGCGCTCTCAACACCACAGCTTGTAGTCTAAACACCTTCCCCTAAAGTGTTACCTTTACTTAATCCTGAACAGAGTGAACTTGAGTTGACTCTTTTAACTTATCTGATCTCACCTATATTATTAATTACTTGTTTCCAGAAAGATTACAGTTGAGTGATCTTGAGCCAGGAAGATATTTGAAAGAACTATTTACAGAATTAAAAAAACAAACAAACAAAAACCCTTCATATTTTTTCTTAAAAAAAAATATAAGTAACAGGACATGGAGTGAATACTAGACTATCAGACTACAGAGTATTAGACTAAATCAAGAGAGTTGGATTCTAGTCCTGACTCTGATTGCCTTTGTACAGTTTTATCTCTTGGCCGTATTCTTATTTTTAGAAATTAGTGTTAGTACTCGGGCTGGGGTTTTAAAACTGTTCCATAGGAGAACTTGTGTAGAAATTTTCTGGAGCCATGCAGGGAGAGACAAAGCAAGCCCACCCTCAGGTTTGTTTTAACAAGAGCAGCTATTTATGTGTTCCACTTGAATAACAAGGTTCTTGTTAAGAAGATTAAATTTGTATCTTAAACGAGATGATTTACCTTTTCTTCTAGCAGTAAAATTCTGTTTGTTTTTTTTTTTTTTTTTTTTTGGATATTCATTTGTAGTCAATGTACATTTATTTATTACAGTTTTTAAAAATAATATATTCACAGTTAATTTATTTCTAAAAGCTACAAATATGTCCCTACTCTGTTTCAATTTATTTTATAAATACAAATTTGAAAGTTTTCTTTATGATCAAAATTAGAATTTATTATTCTGTCTTCCTCATATCCTTTTATTTTAGTCATAAAATTTTGCGTATATTTGATGCGCATAATGATTCTTACCGTAGGGAGGACAAATATTTTCCATTTTACATATTTGGTAGCTGAACGTTAAAGGTATTAGCAGGCTTGCTCATCATCACATCGATTAAAAGTTCTCAGTCTTAGCCCCATGTTTTTCTCACAACATCAAATAATTGTAAATTTCTTTCCCTCTTGTACACCGTCCACATGCTCAGGTTCCTATAGCACAAGGAAAATGTGTGAATATGCACAATCGTTATTTCTGGCCAGAAGTTCTCTCTTGAATTTTCATTTTTTTCCTCTTTTGATGATCTGAGTTGGACCACCTAGAAGCAACTTGGATGTTGTCTATACCTCTTTTCTGTGAAGTGATAACAGTTTGTAAATGTTTCATGTTCCTTTTCCCTTCCTTTGGAATGTACAAGAAACCTCAGGAGAAAAGCCCTAAATTGCTCCATTTGCCCTGTGTCTGTAATCCTGCTCTTTAAAACCCAGCCCTGTGGTTTCTTTACATGGAAGTGGAGGCAAGGAAGGGATGTGTAGTATCCTCTGCCCTTCTCCGTGTGGGATATTAATCTTCTTCCTAACATATTCACATCTATACAACAAAAATACCTTGTTCTATGTTGCTTCTTACTCAATTTAATATATTTTCTTTTTATCAGAGATCTCTCTTCTTACTGCCTGTCAATAAGATGAGATCAAATTCCGTCCAAGTTATCTTTTCTTTCTTCTTACTAGTAAAACAAAAACCAAGAACTTCAGTGTAATTTTATTTTGATGATTCCTAACCACTTTTCTTTTTTTTGAGATGGAGTCTGGCTCTGTTGCCCAGACTGGAGTGCAGTGGCATGATCTCAGCTCACTGTAGCCTCCACCTCCCAAGTTCAAGCAATTCTCCTGCCTCAGCCTCCTGAGTAGCTGGGATTACAGGCGCGTGCCACCATACCCGGCTAATTTTTGTATTTTTAGTAGAGACAGGATTTCACCATGTTTGCCAGACTGGTGTTGAACTCCTGACCTCAGGCTATCTGCCCACCTCGGCCCACTTGTCTTTTAGTGTTAGATGAATGAGTTGGCATTGCCTCTACCTTGCGTGTATGTGTTCATAATAGTTAATGTTCACACCTTGGGTTTTTCACTAATCTATTCCCTTTGTTCAGATTTGACATGGTCCTTAAAATGGTCCTTTGACCACATGTATAGAGAGGCAGGGAGAGGGAATGTAGACAAGATACATCCCAAGTAACAAGGAAAACTGTACCTCATTCCTTTAATTTCTTTCCCCATCTACAGTCCTGACAGCTTGACTGGCAGTCTGGTCTTTTGAATGTGATCTTGAAAGGAAAAAAGATTTCTTTTGAGTTCTGTGGGATTAAATTTGATCCAAGCTTAGCAAATATCCATTCCACTAAGTGTATTTTGTATGTGCTACAGTTTTTCTAATGTTTACCATAAATTTACTAATTACCAGCTTGACTTAGAAGGGTTGTTAATCTTCTCAAGCCTTAATTTTTGTCTTCTTAAAATGGAGATGATAATATTGTACTTACTGTGTTGTAAGATTAAATGAAATAAAGAATGTAAAGAAAAGTTATAGTGCCTTGTACATGATATATATCACATGGTAGTTCCTCCTATTCCATTGCTAATGGCTGTTTATTCCTTTGGGGATATTTCCACATTCTCTTGTACCATAAAATGTGCAATTAAATGTTTGTTTCAGTTATTTTCAAGTCATTTAGAATTCTTAAGCAATTAGATTCTAAAGCCTGGTTTTTAAATTTATAGAGTATTTAAAGATCTAGCTGCTCATACATTTCATGTGTGTCTTGTTTGTTCATAGTCGCACTAGTATTTTTCCCATAGTTTATGCCTATACTCTTAGTACTTGGCCTCTTTAAGGTAGCCCCATCTGTGTGACCTGTGTTACCATCCTAAACTTCTGGGTCCATCACCACGTTGTCAGTATAGGACACTGGTTTAGAGCTGGTTCTGCCCCCTCTGGTCATGGGATTTTACACAAGTCATCTAATCTCTTTGTGCCTTAATTTTCTTGTTTTAGAATAGAATTAATAACAGAACATCTTTGTTAGTATTATAAGGATTAAATGATTTAATATTTAAACTTGTACCTAGTAATTAGTTATAGTAGTCACTTGTTAGCATTCAGTAACTGCTAAGTGTTATGTGTTTTCTCTGGTTGTAAACAAGTTCATTGGGATTGTCTTCCTTAGTGGTTCACTGTTACTCTCTATGAATACTGTCTCTGTCTCCTGTGTCCTGCTCTGATTTCTCTATTCCTCATGTCCTATATTGCTCTTTTGCAGTTAGAAATAGCTGTTCTTTTATTTTTTTCCCTTTCCCTTCCAAGATTTCCTAAAACAGTTTATATAAGGATTCTAGATAGGTAGCTACATTTACAGTTGCTTTTTTTTTTTTTTTTTTTTTAACCAGTGAAGAGTGTAGTGTAATAAAATGACTTGTCTAGAGTCACACAATGTGTTAGTGAACCTGGGTTAGAATACATACCTAATCAGAGGCAGTTTAACTCTGCTTTCCCCAATATTCGCTTCAGCATCTGTTCTTTATTTTCACAATAAGCATTCTCAGACTCAGAAGTATCAGGTTTCTGAAAGGAAAAAAAAAATACGAGTGCCATACTGTTATCTTAAAAACATACTTATAAAGCTAGGCCCAAGTATTGGAAATTCTTTCCTAAGGTTT